TGGATGGATCAATCTAGAAATGAGTCAATTTGATCAATTGTCTCGTTTTATAAATAAGACAATTAAAATAAGTCAATTCGAATTACCTACCTCCACCCCAGGTAATTGAAATTGACTCAAAACGGATCAATTCAAAATACCTAAGGCAGCTTGATCCATCCAATTTTTTTGCTGGCAAACGAGGCAATTTGGTACAATTGTCTCAAAACGAGACAATTATGTCAAATTGATCCGTTACAATTCCTCATCTAATGGAATATTTTCTTCATGAATTTATAGAATGTTGTGCTAAACTAATTTAAATTTTTAATTTCGTTGCATGTTCTTGTGACCGTAATTGTATTTTGATTGCAATAAAAGGTGGAATCTTATTTATGAATTATTAATCACCTGTTTTTTGTAGTTAAATCGTCGATTATTTGTGTAAATCTATGGACAAAAAATTATCAACTTAATTTAGTTTCTTCATTATGTTATGGGGGGGGGGGGGGGAAATTCCGTCAGTATTCAAATGGGGGAAAAATTGCCGGCCCCCCTTTTTTCAAATCCTAGCTCCGTCCCTGCGAAAAACGCAGCAGTTACAGCCGAAAAGGGAGCCGGTACTAGTATCAAGAAGGAGAAGGTGGCGGCGGCCGTCGGGATAAGGACGAGAAAGATCGTTCCAAGATATTCCCCTCCCAAGCGCAACTTCATTAACCGCGACAAGTTAATATGCTAACTTGAAGATTCGTTAGCAGATACTAACTTATATCCAAACTACATAAACTAATATCCAAGTACTAAAGTATATAGAGTGCACAGACTAGTATTCAAAGTTGGCTAATTGATATCCACCATGAATCAACTATTATCCCAAATTCACAAACTAAGATCTAGACAACACATAATAGTATCCAAACAGCACATAATTAGTATCCAGATAACACACAAGAGTATCCAGATAACCCATAAGAGTATCCATATTGAATACTAGTTGGTTGATTGTGGATATTAGTTGGTATCTACTATCTGCATACTAGTTTGTGATGTTTTGAATATTAGTCTGTGCTGTCTAGATACTTAGAAGACTTGGATATTAGTTCATACATTTTGTATATTAGTCTGACCGCCACATCAGTAAAAGTTAACGGAGACTAACGGCCAGTGACCAAACGTAAACTGTTAACCTAATTTAAGTGACTACGGATGGAATAAAGTAATTACAGTGGCTAACGTGAACTTTACTAGTAATTCAAGTGACCAAACTTGCGAATTAGTCGAAAAGAAATATTTCCCCACTAATAGTTAACCAGCTGTAGTGATGGCAATTTAAACCCGCCCTATGGGTATTATTCGGCTTGATTTGCGATGGCGAGAATTACCCGACCAACAGTAGCGTGGGGTAGGATATGGGTATCTACTTCCGGCCTGCCCTGCCCCGTTCTTGGCCCATTTTATCTCAATTTCTTACAATTTCTATACATATTTTGACTTTTCTTTAACTAGTTAGAGTCGATCTTTCAACTGGTTAGACTCAATTACTCATTCTATTACAACTACTTTTCATTCATTTAGTGTTTTTCCTTTCGTTTTAGCGTAAAAAGTAAAATTTGCATGTGTTATTTTCAAATAACATGTAACAGTAGTCGACCCGCCCGCCCCGTACCAGCACAGGTTTTACCTGCCTCGATCCGCAGTAGCATGGGGCGAGACATGGGTATTGAGGTACCCGCCCGCTCCATTGCCATCGCTAACCAGCTTGTAGCATCTACGAATTCCAAAACATAATTAACATATCTGCAATATTCAAAAGTATATATATGTTGTATGAGCAAGGTGCCGATTGGATCGGGTTTGATAAGAAAATCACTGATCTGATTTAGGGGTGTAAGCTTGACCCGAAAAACCCACTGACCTGTTCAGATGGTACTTCATCACCACTACACTACACTACACCAAATTATACCACATCAACACAATATTGAACAAATAGTACTTCATCAAACAGATGTATAAGACATCATTTAGGTGACTCGTGCACAATACCTCTCACAACAACAACAACAAAAATTATTATTGATAAACTTCATATGTCGGTTAGTGATGGGAATGGGTAGGGTCGGGTGCGGGCACACCCTATACCATATCGACATATCCTATCCCGTCGGGTATGGCCTGCTAAAATCAATAATAATAAATGACAACTTATATCCCTCATTCCACAACCTATCTACTCCTTAATTACTCGATTTCATCACCACTACACTGCACTACACCAAATTATACAACATCAACACAATATTGAACAAATAGTACTTCATCAAACATATGTATAAGACATCATTTAGGTGACTCGTGCACAATACCTCTCACAACGGCAACAAAAATTACTATTGATAAACTTCATATGTCGGTTAGGGATGGCAATGGGTAGGGTCGAGTGCGGGTACACTCTATACCATATCGGCATATCCTAACCCGCTGGGTACGGCCGGCTAAAATACCCAATAAAATAAGCACCGAATATTGAAATGATATAACCATACCCTACCTACCGGGTAACCACGGGCATAAATTTATCATCAAGCTGCAAATAATTATGTTCTAAAATAATATTACCATATGAACTTATACACGTACATCAATCATTAGATCCACCTAATTGACATAAGCCTTGATGAATTTCACATCGATCACAATTGTTGGTTCACTTCAGACACACATACTAATGAAAATTCATCTCACAATTTTCCGACAATGTTGATAGTATGTGCTCACAATTTGTAAAGCCAACAATTCTAAATATAAAACATGAGAAAGAAACTCAACAAATTGGGATGGGAAACAATTACACGTGCATATTGTCCATTAAAGCAACAATTCACAACACACAAGCAGTGAAGCCCCCAAAGGTTTTGGGGGTATGGAAATTGGAGGAATGGAATTGGAAATATTTATATGAATGGTGCTATTAGGGTTAGACACACTTGCTAGCTTACTGCCATACATAATTACGGGGTACAACTGGGGCGGGTATGGGTGATTATCGTGCTCGTACCCTACCCGTTACTTTGAAACCGAGTATTACCGTACCCGTCCCCTTAACCCGTCAAAGCGGGTAATTATCCCGTTGACCGTTAGAGTCAGGTAGAATACCCATAATTACGGGTTGGATTGACATCCCTAATGTCGGTCCAGTACAGAACCAAACTCTTATATAGATTTGAACCACAAGTAAACCGTTCAATTCATTCAATTTGCGATTCTAATTTACCCGTCAACTGGCTAATTTGGTTTCAATTAAACCACCAAACCGAACCCGAACCCGAACCACTAGATAACAAAGGGCTTCCCAAGTAGCAAGTAGGCTTTCTAAGGTCTCAATCTTGCTTAGATGCTCTTTGTTTTGTGAACCATTCGTGAGAAGTGAATGGGCAAAAGAGATCCAATTAACCATATAAAGGCCTACTCGGGAACGGAAATGCAATTGGCTCGCCGGACTTGACCTATCTCACTAACTGAAACCAGCCGAATTTGGGCCCGAGCCCATTGCTCAGTTTCATTTCTGGCGGGAAAATAACTACTAACCAACCCTTGCTCTTCTCGCCGGCGGGATTACCCGACCGGCGACGGTAGAAAAAAGTTACCGATCTCGTCTCCGGGCTGGCCCTGCAGCTGAAAAGCCAGCCGCCGAATAAGCTGTGCGAAGAAAGTTCTTCCCTTGACTCGTCTACTACAAAGCTCACTCAGTCTCTCAACCTCGATGACGCTTCTACATCTAGGGTTTTGGACACCGCTCTGACTTATGTGCTTCAAGGCACAGTTTGTCGCTGCTGAAGCAGAGATATGTTCCTTTCTGAGATCAATCAACCTTTTCTTAGTGCAAAATAATGGGTTGGATTTTTTTTGTGGTATCTGAACCCTTGGTTTGTGATTGTGATAATGTAGGTATTGCCTTCTCATTTGCTATTATATGCTCTCCTTAGATCCTTAGTGTCGCGGTTTCTGCACCAAGTTTTAGATATATGGACACCCATCAATGGTGGTTCTGGCTGCTGAATTGATTGCCAGAAGAAGCATAGCTGCCCTGAAGCTAGTCCCACACTTGCATGTACAATTGTCTTCTGGGGGAGATGAAGTACACCAGTAAGGCCTGCTGCCAATACTTCTGCTCAAAATCTAGCTCTATGAACCAGAAGGACCAGTAGGCGAAAATGCTGCTAGTTACCTTGCATGAATTTTGAACCCTTTTGATAAAAACTCGTCAAGATATACTCTCTGTTAATCTTATGGACTTCGAAACAAGTTTCCCTCGGTCTGCAAGAGACGCGTACACTCGGGTTAAAGAGGAGCTTAAGAAACCCAAAGTCAATGACATAAGCAAGGAGGGGTTCATTTTTGGGAATCTGCATGGTCGTGAAGCAATCCGCCTGTGGCTCCAAGAGTACCAGAATACATGGCATGTTTTTCAGATGGATACCATCAGGCATCTTGACTGGCTGGTGTTCAAGTGACATGAATTGAAGTGGATGCGAGTTTCTCTTACACTATGCAGCCACTAACATCTTCCATTCAGCTCCACAGAATGAGGGTTTCACTATGAAGGATGCTATTGCTGGGGCCAGTACTGTCCTCGGCTTGACTGATTTTTGCTGACAGGATGTCTCGATCGTTATTCGAGACTGTAGATATTGCAGACAGTTATATTTGCAAGGTGAAATTGAGAACCTGGAGATACTTGATAAAGTGTCTGCAGAGATTAACTCAGGTCGATGCTGGTGAAGCTGCTGGAGTTCAAATGCTGATGGATCTTGTTAGCAGACTGGAGAAGTGGAGATACCTAGGGCAAGAAGTAGCACTTATTGAGACAGAACTGGCTAATGCAAGTAATGCCCTCAAGGCTAAATTTCCTTCTACATGAAGCAGATTTTGAAGCCTGTTATTTATGTCGGAACCATCTTTTTTTCTGGATTGTGCAGAGCCATAAAAGTATGTACAGCAGAGAGAGTTGAACTTGGAAACTGGTGTATATTAACTTCATCAACTTTTATTCATATGAAGGAGAAGCGACCTCAGTAACTTTTCCTTACAAGCTTGGAGCGATTGCAAACACCCAAAAAGCAGTAAGCATTATGGCTTACAGTTCTTCAAAAGAAGACTGAAATGAAACCCAGGTAAGCTACATGCTTACCTGAAATGAATAACTTTTGAAAGGACTAATATAACATCAATCACAGCAGATCCTCCTAACTACCTTATAATGTAAAGAATATCATGCAGTTTTTTGCTGTACAATATCCCAGCACTTCACAATATTGGCTCTCGACCTTTCGCCAGTAACCATAATTGTGAATGCAGCTTATGCATCATATTTCTTTCCAGTTAAGCCTCTCTTGACCATAGAAATCCCTGTCGGATCTCCTCCCCATTCTTCAAACACAACCATGAAGTTACCGCTTGGTTTCAGCCATGACCGTGGAACATGGTACCTGCCGTAAACGAAAAGTAAAACGTGTAAACACACTGGCAGTGAAAAATTAGTAAGAAAGAAGGCACTGGAAGTTTTTCTCCTTTTACCATCTTTGTGTAGGCTGTCCACAATTGATGAGACATTTTTTCTCCGCGTAGTAACCACCGTAATAGCAGGTGCCACAGTTGCCTTCTGCTTTATATGCAGGCCAGTATCGGCCTATGCTCTGCTCATTGATCCATACCTGGCCTTTCCCCATGCTGATCATGTCTAGCGCCAATGGCTCGTTCCCTTCTGGCGCATCAAAAGTTGTCTGCCAAAAGTTTCATCATCAAAATCTCAGTAAAAGATCCAGCAATGTATCATGTGAGGGGTAATTCAGCAAGTTACTCAATTACCTTGTACCACGACAGAGGCTGTTTTTCAGCTAAAAGCGTTCCATCTGACCAATCGACGGATGAACTTCCAGTGATCGTATTCAGCTGCAATTTCTCACCTTGCACGCCAACCTTGTAAGACCATTTCCATTTGGTCATGTCAACTGTCCCCTGATTCAGTCCCTTCAGTGTGACTGGACCGAGAACACCAACGTTGTAGTTCTCAAAGTGCGGTCCAACATTCTGGTTTAACATGGAAAAAGATCATGGCACAGCCAAATTGAGTCCAAGTTCTCGAAACAAAAGCTAATTTCCAAAGAGAAGTGAGAAACACTAACCGCAAGACCAACTGAAGCGCTCAGCAATGCAATCTTGTTAACACCAGCGTTTAGCTTCACACCCTGGCTGAAAGTCAACTTGGGATTGTCTTTACTTCCATAAGCGCTTCCCATGAGTTTACCATTGACAAAAACATTGACAAAATGGCCAGCTGATTGGACCGTGAGAACCGGGTCATCTCCATTCTTCAGAAATGCCTCGTTGCTTTCTATCTTGATACTGATCGCAAGAATGGAAGAAGAGAACTATCAGCAGGATGCTGAGGAAAGAAGCAGAGCAGAGTTCCATGAGCAAGTGATTGGCTATTATATACTCACTCTGTCATGTACCAAAGGTAATCCGAAGAATCTTTGGTCAAGTAAACTTGCTCCCACAATCCATCCAGTGTAGTTGTATCACTAGCGAAACCAGAAGCAACTTCGTCGATGTACGAGTTCCATGTAAATCCACCCACAGGCGTCATCTTCCTGTGCACTCGTGGAGCTGAAACCTGTAATTACCACCCAGACAAAAGTTAAAAACAATATTTTTGCAAGTGCTGTGAATCAATGCTGCAAAGAGTCTCACTTTTCTTCCCTCACCTTTGCAGTGTTGTAAAATTCAGTTTTGCAATCGGGTAGAATGCTGATGGACCATGCTGGGAGATCATACCGACCATTTCCAAAGTCGACCGTGACTGCATAATTCACATCATAGTTTGCTAGGAATGCGGCACAGCCCCACTTTGAGCTGTATACATGAGCCTGGAGACAGTGATCACATCCAAATTGCAGCATCAAAACAAAAAAGAACGCAAAAACTTAAAACGCAAAAACTTTATATGTTAACCACAATTCGAGTAGATTGAGGCTTTGCTTACCTCTTGATTTTTCCCGAGTGATCTCACAGTGGCGTCAGCAGAAACCAAAGCAGTTTCAGATTGCTTGATTGCTTTATGCATATGTTTCAGGTGAGTGTATCTGGGCTCATTTGTCAAACCTGAAAAACATCAATCAGACAAGGAAGGATCAGCCTAAGATATGGCTTGTGCCAACAAAGACCTTAGCTGTTACCAGCTAGATGAAGCCCTGCATTATCTCGCATACATGAGTGAGGTATAAGAGGCAGTTAGAAGTTTTAGTATGTGTGAAGGAATGACTACAACTCCATACCATATTCATCAAGCGGGGCGTCATAGTCATAGCTCGTGGTCACAAAGGGTCCACCTGCTGTTCTACCAAAGCTTGTCCCGCCATGGTACTGAGAAATCACACAACCAACATAATAATAATCAGCAACGAGGAGACAAAGAAGAGAGAACACATCCACCATTATTTGAAGTTTCAAGTTGAGTAGTTACCATGTAATAATTGGCATAAGAGCCACCACTCTGAATGAACTTGACAATTGAAAATGCCAGATCTTCTGCTGGTCTGTATGCGACTGGGTTTCCCCATGCTGAGAACCTGGGTGGCAAATTTTGCATGACCTAATTAGATATGAATCAAACAGAAAGTATGTTCCTTTTTTTCTTCCTCTTCCACTCACTTCCCGTATAACTTACCAAGCAGTCCAGGCTTCAGTCCACATTTTAGGCTTGTATGGCGCGTTTGGCTTGAAGTTCTCACAGTAAAACGCATTGCAGGTGTTTATCTGCATCCAAATCAGAACCAAACAAAAAGATGGGTACTTTTCAGTCTCTAGCAACAGAAAAGCTCCTTCAACCCGCTCCCACTTTGTGATAACAAAAGGTGGTGGTGTCGTTATTTCAGCGAGAATCTTCTCCATGGCAAAAGAAAACCTCTTAAAAAAATAGACCCATCAACTAAACCACGCACTCACATCACAAGCACCATCGCAACAGAAACGCAAAACCCACTAGAAGGAGATTGATAGCTCAAGTATGGATTGAAAAGAAAAAGGGACTGAAAGATAAAGATGTGCGATTTATGGGCCACCAAACTAGATCCGGCAACTGTTCGACGAAAATTCCCAAAGAAAAAAGTTCGTAAAGCATCTACAACAGCAGCAACAGAAGAAGAAGAAGAAGAAGAAGAAGAAGAAGAAGAAGAAAAAGGAGGAAAGCTAAAGAAACAGTAGACTAACAACAAACTGGCGAAATACCCAGAAAGAGAATTACCACAGGGTCAGGAGCATCCTCTTGCTTGCACATAATCCATGGGACTCCTGTGTCGAGCCCCACTGCCATTTTAGCTGCCCATTGTGCATAGGCTTTCGCCGGCGCCCCGATCTCGTATTCCACCGGGTCCATCTCGTTCTCAATCTGTTATCATACATCACCACAATCACTCAGCTGACGAGAAAACAGTAAAAACAAGAAAAACCCCTACTCCAGATTCTTGATGGAGACTTGGGTTTTGGCAGGCTGACCTTTTTCATGAATTTACTGGTATTTAAAAGGATGGGTTTTTTAACGAAAAGTTATGACCAATGAGAAAATAGGTTACAGCCAAAAAAGGGTGCAGATAAACTTTAGTTTGTCCATATGCCTCGCCTAACCTGGGAAAGAATAATTGGGCCTCCCTGGGGTTCAAAGAGGTTTTCTTGCTTCATCATGTTGACGATCTTCTCTGTGAACTTTTGCATTGCCGCCTTTCATTGAATCCATCGACCCACCCATAGTACAATCCGTCAGCTCTCATGATCAGTAAAAGGAAATTTGACAATCAGGCTAAAAAGAAAGGGCAGCCGACTACCTTGAAGGGTTCATTGTCAGTTCTGAAGGAGATTCCAGGCACATCCTTGAGCCAAACAGGGAGTCCTCTGCATCACCCACAAAACAAAGAAACAGAGCATTTGAAAAAACAGGGGGGAAGGAATTAGCTTTTCGACGAATTTCGAGCAGGGTTTTCCAAAAATTACCCGAAGTTCCATTCAGCACAAACGTAAGGGCCAATCCGGAGATTAAGGTAGAGACCCGCTTGTTGAACCAGCTTCACGAACTTCACAAGGTCGTACCTGTCGTTGAAGTAATACTTCAACGATATAACAAAGCAATTTTTCAAAAACAATCAGTATCAGTTGCAGAAAGCTAGAACCCATTAACGGGGCAGAAGAAAGAAGGGAAAGAGAGTACATTTCCAGGGGTGGGTTCGTGCCCATTCCAGAAGACGTAAGTCTGAATCACATCCAATCCTCCATCTTTCGCCTTCTGTATGAGATCAGGCCACATCTGCATTCCCCCGAAATTAAAAAGTCCAAAACTTTCAGCTCCAAAATAAGAAGAAATTGAAGACATTGGGTGAGTGAAAGATGGGGAAATTTTCGCACCTCAGGAGTGCTTCTGGGATAGTGAATGGAGCCGGAGATGAGAATTCTTCTCTGCCCATTGACGATGATGGCTTTACCATCATAAGTAACAGCAGCTGTGACTGAAGAAACCCAAACCGAAGATGAACAGAGAAGTGCTAGCAGTAGCAAAAGAGGCGAGGTATTGTGCCTCAACATTCTGACACACTGAAATAAACCCTTCCCCAATCTCTCCTCTCCTCTGCTATTTCTTTTGGCTGGTGAAGAAGGCAGTGGTGGCCTCTGTTGAAATAAATACAGGGTAGGCTATAAATGCAAGCAGTACTTTGACGAGTTCAATAGGGCATTCATTACTGTTTGCTCTTGAGCTCGAACTTCCAATACACTGAAGAAGAAAGAGAAGAAGGGAAATGCGGAGGAGGGTAGGGTGTGGAGAACTTAGTGAGAGATGAAGGGAAGGGATCCACCATGTTAGCGCTTATATAGTTTTAATTTGTAGGGGAAGGGTCAGAATGTTAGATAGGGTAGAGCTTTTCTGGTTTAATTTCTGAGCAAATCGGAAGTCTGATTGTGAGTGGGGACCGGGCTCTTGTTGTTGTGTTGCCTTTGTTGCAAGAAAGAAAGGAAGGAACGAAGGTTGCTCTGTTTTTGTCTTGCCTTCACTTCGAATAATCAGCATCAATTTGATTCGTCTTTCTTACAAGGTAATTTAAGCGCATTGCGCAAACTGAGTTTTACCACCTATATTGAGCTAGGAATGAAGTGAGTGAGGAAGGAGGGCAGAAATTGTAGAAGGGAAAAAAAAGAAAGAAGTGAAATGTGAGGAAGTGGTTGAATAACATATATGGAACTCTCTCAACAACTCGAGTTATAGAGACCAGTTGATTTATGATATGATATCAGAGCTGATTTTCATTGAGTTCACTACTTTACACGAAAAAAGCGGGAATTGGTTTATGATTTCTGAGGGTCTGTTTATATAAATTGGTCAGGTGCACCGTTAACTATCGCCTCTGATTTCCACCTTCGACAAGAACACTAGTAAGCAATCTACCCCGGAATGAGAGGAGAAAGAAGTAAACAGCAGGGATGAGTACATCTAGAAAGAAGAAGGAGAAGAAGAAGGAGAATTGAGAAGGACAATATTGTATTTTGGTTTTGTCGCGTTGACAACCATGATCCAATTCCAAACGAGAGATACGACCTAAATACATAAAAAAAATGAGAATTTTAAACTAAAATCCCTTATTAATAAATTCTCCATTCAAACGCTTTATGTCTAAAAATCCTACAAAATATTATACACCATAAATCCATCGTTACTTTTTGAAATTGTTTGGTGACACAAAATATCACACACCACGGTACCACATTGCTTTCCCTCCCCCCATCTCCCCAATGCTTTGTTTCTTTTCCAATCATGTTCGAGATTTCCTTTCTTTTCCAATTTCACTTCAAATTTGGTGCACGCTAGCAATCTCGTGTACTCTTCGAATTCTCTTTTTATGTGAATTTTGTTAAAAGTAAATTTCACTATGTGAGTAGTGATCAATTGATTTAATTTGAACATGTATACCATTCTAAATAAATTACTGATAGAGTTACGTACTTCGAGCCTGACAAATTTCTTTTTAAGATAATTTAATAATATGTCTAACGATAATATTTTTGACACGCATGGAACTGTTGTGTATGATGGGATGGCTACACAAAACTAAATGATATTGAGATAGGTTAGTAACGATATAAAATAGGAGCGCGTCCTGTGAGTTATGTTGGTACATGAGCCAGACAGCCACTAGGGCGTGATAATGTATATTTGAATGACATTGGTGTAGTTTAGTAAGTTTAACGTTACCTGTGAATATGTTATTCAGGGGCGGACCTAGGTTAGCAAAGGGTTTGTCAATTGACAAACCTTACTCCACTTTTGAGATAAATTACCTTTGTAAAATTTTATTGTAGTGATAGTAGTATTTGAACTTAAAACTATTTGACAATCCTTGATGATTTTGTGTTATAGTTGAATACCCTTGATGTAATTTATGGGTTCGCCACTAACGTTATTGCGGCCATATCTTTAGATTTTTTTCCCACTTCAACATAATTTATATTAGTTATCTACCTACATTACTGTTATAAACGCGCTGTTACGGATAGAGAAATCGCAGGAATCGAGAAAACAAGAATACGAAAGCAAGAATCGAAAACACGACACACGATTTACATGGTTCACTAACACGATGTGTGTCCACAGATGAGAGAGGGCCAGTTTCACTATATCGAGGAGATTATATATTACAGAGGAGTATGAGAAGTATTTATAGTACTTCTCCATGTGGGTCTAAACCTAACCAATCTGGTAAGGAAACAGTGACAGACCAGGTCCAAAATCCGAACCCAAATAACATTGAGCCCATACACCACGACTATTTTTGGAATTACAATGCAATCTCCAGTAATAAAGGCTAATAATCCGATTCAAATCACATCAACGATTATAATTCAAAACCAACTGATGTTTTTCTCTTATTGTTATCATCATAATTCAAAACCAACCGATTGATTCAAGCACAGCTTCATGCAGGAGTGATGAGCGGCAGGCAACCAGGTTCACTGGGGATGGTGGATGCTGATGTTTTTTAAGCACAAAATGGGCCACAAGAAGAAGCCCATGGTCAGTTGTAATCGATCATCTCTCTTAGGTTAGGCCCTCGAGAAGCAATGTGGGCTTCAGTGGGAATCCGTCAGGGCTGGTCTGTGGCGCCAATTGAGGTTTCACTTGTCTAAATGTCACAAGTATCCATGGACCGTGTCACAACCCAAAAGCCCATATCGGACGTACGTCTATAGCAGGGAAAACAAAAATGTGGTATTGGACTTCTCCATTTCGGGCCTGTTATATCCCGAGTTGCATAACGTCGTTTCTGCTACTGCCAGTCTGTCGGGCCGGAACAGGTTTGAAGCTTTCCATGTGGGTCATTAGTCATTACTCATTAGCAAGGTTGTCAAACCCTTATTTGACCTGCTGGTTCAACCAGGTCCGATTAGGTTAAATTATTCAAAATCGAGTTAAACCAGTTAAAATCGGGTGGCCTGACTAGTCAAAATCAGATTTGAAAATGATGATCGATAGTTAATAGTTTTATAATATGTATTTCTTTAAAAGAAATAATTTGGTAATGTATGAATGTAAATTAGTGATATTGCTTTAAAATATGTTAAATATATGCATAACCTAATCTATTTGTTATTAGATTTTTTCTCCCTCAATCCACTTGTAAAAACTATAAAATATATCTTTACAAGAAATAATTTGGTAATATATGAATGTAGATTAGTGTCTAGTGAGATTGTTTTAAAATATATCAAATATATGCATAATGTATTTTTTATTGGATGTTTTTTCCTCAACCCACTTGCAAAATCGGCTTTATAGTTTAATTCGGTTTTAAAACCATTTTCACTAGCTAATCAACCTTTTGCAACTTTTATTTTATTTAAAACCATGTATTATTTCATTAATTGGAAATATTAGAGGAATCCGTTAACAACTATGGAACTTTGAAAATTGGGGCCGGAAAACTCAAATATCCTGTTGATCCTAACCACAAGCGGTTTTTGTTTCATGTGGGAATTTTGATATCTTCGCTTCAGTCGACGAAAACCCAGAAACCCTTCCCCATGGCTGGCTAAGTTCCTTAATTGCGTATGTATGTGAACCCTAAGAGTTCTCACCATGTAAACTCGATGCTTTGGTTTAATACGATTGTGTTTATTTCTTATGTGTTGATGTTTGATTTCCTCTGTTTTGTTATTTATCAATTTGAATGAGAGCCTAGTCGACCTTGCACTCCTTCGAGGTGCAAAGATCGAAATCCTAGTCGCTTAGGAAGGGAATAGAAATAGCAATACTAATCATCGAAATCCAAGTCGCTGAGGTATTTCATGAACTGTGTTGGGTATTGATCAAATCCTCTCAATTGTGATATTAACCTAAGCTAGAGAACATCCAATTAGGTTAATTAGAGCACTTACCTCATTCTTCATTGTTGGTCGATGGATCGAGCGTGAAATTGGGCCTCAATGCCATATTGTATCGTATTTTAATAGAGGGTTTCTACTTGGCACTCCCTAGACGTCTTAATTTGTCATATGTGGAAACCCCCCTTCGGGTAGTTCACTCTATGCGAGGTTGAGTAACTCGAAAGGGAGCTTAGCCCAGAATAGCATCCTTCGATGTGCAAATCAAGATTTGACAAACTAGGAAAATCATTTGTCGGTCTATTTTTCAACTAGGAGGAGACAACACCAAAGTGACTTTTCATTATAGTTTTCAACCAAACATTTATTTTCTTTGTTTTAGTAGTTGATCAGTTAGTTGAAACTTTGATTCACTAGATAACAAGGTAGTCTGCAAAGTAATAGTACACCTACATTCTAGATTTCATAATTAAACTTTACTTCCACTATACTGTACCTGATCGTTGTTTCACTTGGCCACGGTTAGGATAGTAGTGCTAGTAGAAGAGAGTAAGCTTTTTGGCGCCATTGCAGAAATTACGATAAGTTATTCTTGTGTTGTTTTGTGTTGCGTGTGTGTTTGTTGAGTTGTGTTTCATGTGCATGACCCGGAGCAATCTAGGAGGCTTGCACCCTATCGATTACGACATCAACCGTACCTTGCGCCATCTTGTAGGGAGAGAAGATTAAGGGAGGCTCGGGAGAGGTTATTCACTCACAACCTCCCGAGCCAAGAAGAAGATGGAATAAAAGAAGAAGTGGAAGTTGAGATTGACTTTGAACCAATGGCGGAAGGAAATCAAGTTTTACAATTAAGTGAAAAATCAAGGGAACAATGTGGAGGAACCGACGAGGACTATGTGGTACTACTTCACCTCAAGACTCAAAGATATCCAACCAAGCATTTGACATCCTCCCATTGCCACCGAAAACTTCAAGCTAAAGACAAGTGTCATCTTCATGACCCAGAACAACATCCAGTTCAGTGGTCTTTCACTCAATCGATTCTTGGAACTCACAAACGAGATCAACATGAACGGTGTTCCTCAAGAGGCGCTTCGTATAAGGCTCTTCCCATACTCATTGAGTGAAAGACAAGATTATTGTTGAAGAATCTGAGGGCTTCAAGTACTTGTGGATAGAGGTGGCAATTCTCAATCCCATCCACCAACCTATTAAAAATATCCACCTAATCCAATCCATTTGATCCAAATCCAATTGGATTGGTGGATTCATGGATTGATCCATGGATCCAAATGACAAATTACAATTTGGTACCTATACTTTTTATATTTTACATTTTGGTACCCAAAATTTATTTTTTATACGAAAAATCTTTGGAAGAAGACATCACAATGGATGTCATTTGGATTCATGGATAATCCACTTGATCCAATCCATGAATCCACCAATCTATTTGATCCATGGATCCACCAATCCAATCCACCAATTCATGGATCAATCCATTTGCCACCTCTACTTGTGGATGAATGAGTGTTTATTGGCCTATATTGCGAGTGTTTTGGAACTTAGATTCTATGCCTAAATTTTCAAATTTAATGGGTTCCATACACCTTGTCCAATGCATGATTCCTACTCATTGTGCTTAGAATTGGTGGATGTCGTGATGGCATACATTCTAGGAAGGATGGTGTAGCGCTTCGAGGGTTGTTGGTCCATGATTAATTTTGCTTCCACGTGCTCTTTGGTTGGTTGATACTGTTGACTAGTTACGACTATGACATGTTTGTTGGACTCTCTCCATTTTTGGACTCGGAGAAGATTTTTGAAAAAAGGTGCTCAATTATTGAGTGTGCTTTTAATGAAAAAATGAGTGTCTCACGTGAGTGGCAACCGATCATAGTGTATAAGTTAAAAAGTCATAGGGATTTTCCTTTGGACAGGAGAACCCTTTATGGATGTGTTTAGGGAAATTCAGATAGCTTTCTAGCATCCAACCTTTATCTACTACTTTCCATCTTCCCTTAAACACCTCTCTTCCGCAATGGACTTGTTTGAGAGGAAATAGACTAATTACAAGCATATGTGCTTTGAAAGTATTGTTGAAAAATTGTATAAATCATGTGGTAAGAAATTACTGAAATCCATGAAATTAAGAGTGACTAACGGACCCCAAATGTCAACATGTATGAATTTATAGGTACTTTGTGCAGCATATATTGGCTTGGGGAAAAAAAGGAATACATTTTGTTTACAAAGATTATAAACATCACAATGATGCAAATATTCTATCTCTATACCAGGTATAACTCTTTTCGACTCTTTAACCATAAAATTATAAGGGTATCCAAGTCGCCGGTGCTACAAATCAAATGAATGGGGTGTGAAAATGAGTGATCTTGAGGAAATAACATGGATGTAATTGTCAACTCTGTATGACATAAAATATTATTATGAACCTTTAGTTTGTGATTTTGTAATATGCACAATTCAAGGACGGTGCATAATTGGTCTAGATATTTTGTTGATTAAAATAAAGCCTGGACGTGGATGCATTGCTGAGGTAAGAAAGAATAAAAAGAAAGAAATCTTCCTCCCTTGTTCTTCTCTCTGCCTGCCGCAAGCTCTCCCTGTTTTCTCCAATTTCATTTCCAAAAGACCAAAACCAATTGTCCAATTATCATCCAATTATACATCCCACCAATTAAACAAACAACACCAAATGCCTAGATCAAATCCCAAAATCAACACTTTTCACTGTCCAGGAATGTGATATGCTAAAAGTGCCACGGGTTGAGGTTCTGGAAGCAGAAGTAAGAGCATCATTTGCCCTTATTTCATATATGCTATTTCGGTATTCCGGTATACCGGATTGTCGTCGGTATATTACCGGGTATTATTCGCTATACCATTATGCCAAATCACGTCATTGAATACTGATACCACTGGTATCCGGTAATACCGAATACCGGTTTATCGATTACCACCCCTAATTGTGGTTGATAAGAAACATATGTCAAAGCTTGAATCTGAGACTCTTGATCGGATGGCGTTACCCATGCATATACCGGATGGTCATTCCACCCCGAATTGTGCGACCACTTACCACATCTAGAGTGCTGGCCTCCCTCATGATTTGACATTCTTTCACTCCATGGTTAGGACTTTTGCCTTGCTTCCTATCATGTAAGATTACCTTGATCAACTCATTAATCTTCGCTGTAGGTGGAGAATTTGCTTATGTGGGATGTACTTCCCTCTTTTTTCCCATCCGCAATTGACGGTTGTGGTGAAGTTGTTCATAGCTTCTGACGATTGCGGTGAGCCCAAATAGATTGGGAATATTTCATAAAGCGTGTATATTTTGAGAATTTTTAGAGGTAAAAAAGTTTCGAACCTCTCGTCTCGACTCTCGACTCTCGAGTTTCCGCCCCAAGTCCTGAACCCCCTAAAACCAAAATCACCTCTTTTACTTGCCCGCCTTTCCTGTGCTCCACTTTCTCCTTTCTTCCTCCCTGGTTGCTGCTCCTCTGATCACTCATGGCGTCTTCCGCTCTCGCTCCTCCTACTCCTCGTTCAGGTAAGACTCCACTTTCCTTCGTCTTCCTAATCATTTCCAACTTCCGAACTTTTGAAGCTCGCTCTCGATACCCGCCGGATTCGCCATCCACCTAATTGAAAACTGAAGCTTGTCTGTGACGAACGTGTAAGATTGACCCCGACTTATGGCCCATAGAACAATTTCAGCTATTGATTTTTCCTTTTCTCCTCGCAACTCAGTAGTTAATGCCCTCAGTTCTGGAGTCCTGTCTTCGTTAGTCCTCTTTCCCTACTCCTAGGCATTGCCTGCCGCCATTGCGTGTCTGGAACTCGTGTGCTAGATTTGGTTTCATAGAGGTCGAATTGCACTAGGCGTTTTTCGTTCTTATTTCGATGCTGGAAAGCTGGATTGTGCCTTTTGTTGGGTCTATAAGTCACTGTTTGCGTCGTTGCTCCCAGGGGGCAGTGGTGAAATCCAGAGCATGCGGAGCAGTGCCGCTTTTGGGACTTCCTGTGGAGGGGATTTTGATGTGCCAACTTCCCATTTACATACACAATACAAGAAGAGAAGAATCTCGCCTGACAGGGAATTGAGAGAGGCAGAAGCCTTATTGCCCATTTTAACCGCACCAGATTACTACATTAAGCCTTGTTTGGCTGATTTGGCCGCTAGGGAAATTTCAGATCCTGGTTATTGCAGTCGAGTTCCGGATTTCACGGTTGGGAGGTTTGGTTATGGTTGTGTCAAGTTTCTGGGGCAGACTGATGTTAGGTTGTTGGAAGTTGATCACATTGTGAAGTTCTACAGGCATGAAATTGTTGTATATGGGGATGAAAGTGTTAAGCCTGCAGTTGGTCAGGGGCTCAACAAGCCTGCTGAAGTAACTCTGAATTTGAAAGTTAGACCTTTACACCCAAATAAGGAACAGCTTCAAGATCTTGTGGAGAAATTGAGAAAGAGCATGGAGAGGCAAGGAGCCCGCTTCATTTCGTTTGACCCCACGAATGGTGACTGGAGGTTTTCGGTCCAACATTTTAGTCGTTTTGGATTGACCGAAGATGATGAAGAAGACATCACAATGGATGATGTTGAGGAAGTTAATGATCCTTCCAGGGTGAATAAAGATGCAGAGATTCTTGAGGAAAATGGGGAAGCCGAAGAGGAAATTGAGCCTACAGGGCCTATGCTTTATCACTCTCTTCCAGCGCATCTTGGCCTTGACCCTAGAAAGATGAAAGAGATGAAGATGTTGATGTTTCCATCTGAGGATGAGGATGGGGTTGAAAATTTGAATGATCTCTCTTATCCCAAGATGTCCAGAAGTAAAGAGTACATGAAGCGTTCTTTGCTGAATGCCTCGGAGAGGATGACTCGCAGATCTAGTCCACCTGCAGTGAGGAAAACACCATTGGCTGTGCTCGAGTACAATCCTGCTGGTATTGACTCTACTTCTCCTGGAAATATATTGATGGCCCAACAAAAGATGGCATTGCCTTTAAACCCAATTAGGGGGGATGGCTTCAAGCTCAAATTGGACCGCCAGACACCAGTAACTGGAAGCCATTCTCGCAACATAGTTGATGCTGGGTTATTCATGGGCAAATCATTCCGTGTCGGATGGGGTCCAAATGGTGTTCTTCTTCATTCTGGTGCTCCTGTAAGTAGTAGCAGCTCTGAAAGATGGTTATCTTCTGTCATAAATGTCGAGAAAGTTAGCATTGACAAAGTGGTTAGCGATGAAAATGATAAAACCAGAAAGGAACTTGTTGACTGTGCTTTTGGTGCCCCTTTCAACCTCCACAAATCGTTAAATCGTGACATCAAACAAGTTCATGTAGGTTCATTTACACTGAAACTTCAGAAGGTGATTACTAATCGGCTGGCTCTTGCTGAAATTTGTCGGAATTATATAGATATAATTGAGAGACAGCTGGAGGTTCCTGGATTGTCTTCATCCTCACGTCTGGTTTTGATGCACCAAGTCCTGATCTGGGAATTGGTGAAAGTTCTTTTCTCTGTAAGGGAAAATGTTGGGGGACCAAATTCTTTAGGTGCTGACAATGAGGAAGACATGATGCCAGATGTTAAAGAAGGGTCTCCAGAAATTGACGAGGAATCACTTCCTCTTATTAGGAGAGCAGAGTTCAGTTGTTGGTTGCAAGAAAGTGTATGTCATCGTGTTCAAGAGGATCTGAGCTCTTTGGATGAATCCAGTTATCTCGAACAAATCTTCATACTCCTTACTGGGAGGCAGCTGGATGCAGCGGTCGAAATGGCTGTTTCTAGAGGAGATGTCAGATTGGCGTGTTTGCTTAGTCAGGCTGGTGGATCAACTGTTAATCGTGCTGATGTTGCACGACAACTTGATCTTTGGAGGGCCAATGGACTAGATTTCAATTTTGTTGAGAAAGAGAGGACAAGGATCTATGAGTTGCTTTCTGGTAATATTCACAATGCTTTGCAGGGTGTTCAAATTGACTGGAAAAGATTCTTAGGGTTGCTGATGTGGTATCGTCTGTCGCCTGAGACACCATTGCCAGATCTTTTCAAAAATTATGAACTCCTCCTCGATGAAGGTAAAGCTCCATATCCTCTTCCAATTTATGTAGATGAAGGACCAGTTGAGGAGGAAATAGGTGATACAGAAAAGAACTTTGATCTCACATACTATCTCATGCTTCTGCATGCCAACGGGGAGGGTAAATTTGGCTCTCTGAAGACCATGTTCACTACTTCATCTTCAACATATGATCCACTAGACTACCATATGATTTGGCATCAAAGAGCAGTTCTGGAGGCAGCTGGTGTCTTTACTTCTAATGATCTTCAAGTGCTTGACATGGGAATTGTTTCCCAGTTATTGTGCACTGGACAATGTCATTGGGCGATTTATGTGGTGCTTCACATGCCACAATGTGATGATTATCCTTATCTACATGCTACTGTAATTCGGGAAATTTTGTTTCAGTATTGTGAAACTTGGAGTTCAGACGAATCACAATACCAATTCATTCAGAACCTTGAAATTCCATCGGAGTGGCTGCATGAAGCTATGGTATAGTTTATTGCTCCCTGATGTTTCTCTCCTCACCTTAGGCATGCACATAAACACAGGTGAAAGTCCTATAAAAAAACACAAACACAGGCGAAACTGGTAGATGCATTTAAATTATGCGTGTGAAATCTCTTGGAAATTAGCAAGCCAAATATTGTCCATGGAAGTTATAATCAAACTCAGACTAGAAGAACTATGGTAGTCTTGTTATGTTGTCGCCAGGTTAATTGTGTGGACAATTCTAACTCTGTTCAAAGGGAATCGACTTTTTCCTTGTCTATTATGCTGTTTGTGTCTTTGTTGATGATCGCATGTGATCTTATTAAATAATATTGAACCTAGAACAACAGTTGCAGGGGCTCCTGGCTTCTTGCAAGTTTGTCTGACCATGGATGATTAGATGTTACAGTTTCAGATTATAGTCAGGAACAAAAATTGTTACTGTATCTTTCTGTTTTCATAGAAGGAAATGAATAGAAAACAGAATGAAAAGTAAACAAATTTTCTCGTTTGGGTTGCCAAATTTATGACATGAAAACAGAAAACAAGAAACGAAAATGGAAGTGAACAGGGCCTATGTCTATCAAACTGAATTACTGGATGCAGAGTGATTACCTGAAAAGCTTCATCATCCAGCTTTAGCTTACTTTGTCTGAGTTTGATCTTGGTTAAATATTGAGCAAAGCATTAAATAATCTTGTTGTTGTTGAACAAATGAAAATAATGTTCGAGTGCATTCTCAGTCATTTGAGCACGTGTGAAGCTTCGGGTTTCGAGAATATAATCTTCACTTGACACACTATGAATCTTGTTGTTTCTTAATGAAGTTATCGTTTAATATACTCTTTTAAGTTCAAAATCTCCTGGGTGGTGAATCTTGCACTAAATAAACTTCTTTTGTAATGCAGGCAGTATATTTCAATTACCATGGGGATCTGTCAAAGGCCCTTGAGCACTTCCTTGAATGTGCACACTGGCAGAAGGCTCACTCTATTTTTACAACTTCAGTCGCTCATACACTGTTTTTGTCTGGTAATATAAGCATCCAGAAGTTGCATACTGTGTGTTCCAGTGTACTTGTGATATATTGAATTGTATCATGAACATTCTTCGAATTAGGCACACATTTAACACGAAATTGGTTGCTGGGTTTCCGTAATCTTTCTAGTGAGCTAGTCTGACTGTTGCTTATGAGGGGATGCCATCTTTTCAATGCAGATAAGCATTCAGAAGTTTGGAGACTTGCTACTCATATGGAGGAACACAAATCTGAAATTGAAAACTGGGACTTGGGAGCTGGAATCTATATTTCCTTCTTACAGCTTAAAAGTTCATTTCAAGAGGATAACAATACCATGAACGAAAAGGTACAATGTTTGCAATCATTATCCATGATTCAGGTTGTTATTCCTTGGATGCAAGCAATTTTGTTGACTGAATTGGCCCTGCTGAGGATGACAATATGCATAGCAAAGATCTTAGGCACAGATCAGTTCTTCTTTCTGCTTAAGTAGTAAACTACTGAATCTTCAGAGCCAATAAAAATTCCTTCACTAAACAATATAGATGAGTTGCTGTACTTTTCATCGTATAGTAACAGTATGAATAGGCCAACTGAAGCTTTGCCTGGGTGGTAACTTTTGCAGGATCCTCTTGAGAGCAAGAATTCTGAATGCAGGGGATTCCTTAGTCAGCTTAATGAATCTTTAGAGACTTTGGGCAACAGATTGCCAACCGATGCAAGGTACAACTTCATTCTCAACATTCTCATCCATAATTTATCTGCCTTTTAAAGCATCAATCTGCGATGAATGCTTGACCTATTTGACATTTATATGTGCTATATGCAATGTGCGTTTACTTCGAAGATCACCATCTCGTGAATGACCATGCATCAATCTGCGATGAATGCTTGACCTATTTGACATTTATATGTGCTATATGCAATGTGCGTTTACTTCGAAGATCACCATCTCGTGAATGACCATTGAGACGTTGGAGTTTGACGAAATGTACTTGCTTTCAATCATTGAGAGGAAACATAAAAACTCTTTCAATTTTGAAAAGTAGTGTCTTAAATCGCGCGAGAAACAATTTAGCAGTAAACTTTGGTCGGTCTGAGATGGGAGCTGAGGGGATCATCTCGTATTTTTTTACGGATTCATGGTTGTTATTTATTATGGCTGTGGATGTCGGTGCAGGATTGCATACTCAAAGATGGCCGAGGAGATATCCGAGTTGCTGCTCTCGATAAGTAGTTGGGGAGAATCACGGGATGCCCAGTTGAGCTGCTTTGAGACAGTTCTTACGGCTCCCGTTCCTGAAGATCTTTGTTCAAACCATCTGCAAGATGCTGTCTCGCTCTTTACATGTTATCTCTCGGAGATGGCCACTCAATCCGTCTAGGCTCGAAGCTCTTGAGTTTCTCGCATTCACACCTTGCTTCCTTCACATGCGTGCCAGGAGTTGGGACTTAACTTTAGGATCGCGATTCCTTGATTGCCATGTTTGCTGATTTTTCCTTTCCTCTTCTTGATTGAGCAAGCTCATGTTGTGTTCCTGGCACGCAACATTACCACAGCGTAACCTTTGAATTTTGTAATGGCTTGTCATATCTCAAATTGTAAAAGAGATATGGTTACTTAACAGGAGGCTACGAAAATAGGAATGAATTTTTTGTAAACAAGAGAATGCTGAAAATCAGAATTGAATTATAACGTACAACATATTTGGCAACCTACAACAATAGTACATTGCCATGCAGTATCAAGTCTTCTCGACGCTCTCAGTATGGTAAACTGAAGTAAGTTGCTTATAGTAACACGGTCAGAACTTAGCGTATACTTCTACTGCCGCAAAACAGAGCCTTTAATCCCTAAGAAGCAACCGGCTTCCCGTTTAATTTGGGAAAAGGGTCTTGCTTGCTCAACACTACAACCTTGCTCTTGTGGGCAAAGTAACCTTTCATGAGGTTCTTATATATCAAAATTGCCACTATGCACTCCACCTACAAATGTAGACGGAACAAAATACTTCAGTTGGTAAAGCATAACATAACCCAAGAGAAGGGAAGAACGCAACTGGAGAAATGGAATTCAATAAGTACCTCATCCAAGTCCATCTCAATCTCGAGCCATTTTAATGCTTTAACAATCACTTCCAACTTCACTTGGTGAGCTTTGCTAGGGTCCTTTTGCTTTTGGATGATGTAGCTGTGGGGATTGTGCTCGAGTCAGTACCACGAAGACGAAAGCAGATGTTTCGGCTTATCATCACCATGGTGTATAAAAAGGGACAAAACAAAGGGACTTACATTTTCTTTAGTAATCTTTGATAAACTTGAAGCTCTAGCTTCTCTAGGACAAGATAAACTCCTGATCGTAGAAACCTGCAAAGAGAACAAAGCACAAACTAGATTAGCTTTAACTGCAAATACGGGTTTCCAAAAATTTGAACTTCAATAAGGCTACAAAATGACAACATACTGATCTTCATTCTCTTGGAGAGCACTTCGGAGCAGTCGGAGATCGCCCCTCTTTAGGGCTTCCACAATGTTGTTGTACTGTCAAGGGGAACACCGTGGTATTAGAACATTCCATTGAAGGAGAAAAAATGCTTCAACCTGGATACTACTTAAAATCTTGAATATGCTATGCTAATCCTTGCATTAATTTTGTTTTTTTTTTTCCACGTTCATGAATAATACAATCCATTTCCCAGGTATCAAGGGAAGTGCCAGTGAACCAAGTTATGGAACGAGAATGAAGGAGATGTACCTCAACTAAATCATAGTTTTCAAGGAGCTGTTTCTTTGGTAAAATGCCTATTGAAAGCTTCACTGGTATCAAATATTTCAGTATCATCCTGAGGAACACAAAAAAGATATCAGGAAAATGTTAAGAGGAACAACATTCACCAAGTACAGACAGCCAACAAATTATTGACGCTATCACTGGTTTCACAATAAAGCAGCAAGTGCAACAAACCAAACCTTATATTGGCCTCTTTGCTGAGACAGCAATGTGTTAAGGCATAGGACAACTTTTGATCTGCCTGCAAGGTCACAAAGATAATCACAAGACGGATCAATGTGTTTCTAGGCTTTTAGATGACTAGAGAGCACAATTCATTGCAATACACATTACACTCAGAAACCACAAATGCATTAGACACTATTTTGTTAAGGATTCAAGACCTAAAACACAATAAAAAACTAAAGTCTATATCTGATTGCACATCTCAAAAGTGAAAAGCCACTAATAGGATTAACAATCAGCCGATGTTCAAGGTGCTCACTGCTGGAAAATTTTCATTGAGAACTTCCAGACGGCCAGTGTAGTACATGTAAGTGACCTGTCATTGAGTAAAGGAAAGACTTCAGTTAAATAGTGCAAAAACCATTCAGCACAAACATAGGAACTCAACACAACGATCGGAAAACCAAGTTTCTCACCTTATCCCTTATCGGAAATTCCTCAAAATCGAATATTCGGGCAGTTTCTATACTTCTTATCACACTACGGCAAAGATTAACTGTGCCAAGCTGCAAACCAGTAACTGTTAGAATTCTGGCATTTCTTGAAACTTTATGTTCAAGAACTCCCTAATGAAAGAAAGACCTAAGGAAAAGCTTTAATGCTAAAAACATCTACAGTAGACAAGGGAATGATAAGCTATTACCTTAAAGTATATTTTGAACAACTGACAAGTCACATACAGTGCTCCGACACGCTTCGGACCTTTCCCCTGTAGATCACAGGATCCCTTAGGATTAGTAACGACCAAGAAACAATATCTTCATTATAACACATTGTAGTTCTGATCTCGTATAACATCTAAAAACTGCAGAGCAAAGCAGAGTGGTGAAAAAGGGAGAAGCATACAGCAAGAACACCGAACACTTTCATGAGGAATGAACCCGCTCCCTTCAATTTCTCCGGTGATTTCCCATTCGAGGCCAGCTCTCTATCTGCCTACAAGTATCAAGAACTTTTCACTCCTTCACTTCACTTGATGAATAACAAGCACTATATATCGAATGATTTCAAGTTCTGAAGAGCCGAAGTCATCATTACCCTCTCCGCAAGAACCCTTATTTCATAAGCAATGACATAGAGTGCCTCCAACGCCCAACCCGATTCCCAGTTCCGGAACTCCTGTATAAAGGCACTGAATCCCCACCATCAGCAAAGAGGGATAGAACAGCAAACTGGAAGCAAGGAAAGGGGAAACCCCAAAAGGAAGAAGTTTGGAAAGAGAAGTCACAAACTTGGAAGCTTTCTCAAATGCTCCGTAAGCATCGACCAAGTTGCCAAGTCGATAGCATTGCAGGGAACGAAAGAACGGAGCTACTACTTCCCCAAATTGCGAGAATTTCTCCGATTGCTTTATCAGTCTATTAGCATCCTAATTGCGATGAATCCGACGGAAAGCAAAAACCCAAATCAACAAATCGGGAAAAGCCATTACTAAGTGAGCAAGCAAACCCTATTCTAAGATGTACTTTCTGTTGCTCAAACCTGGAAGACGTTGAGAGCGTCAGCGAGCGAGAGGAGAGAGGGGGAGTCGGACGAGACGGAGAATAGCCGAGCCAGAGAATCTCCGTCCTGGTAGTTGATAGCGTCGGCGAACCTATTGAGGTAGTCAGTGATTCTTCGGTGTGATTCTCCCATGCTCAGGTAGGCCATTTTCGCTAGCTTGCTCCGTTCTTTGCTTTCCCGTCACTCGGCCGGGGAGCAATAATAGCAGTCACCGACGGCGGTTTGAGTTCTTACCTTCCTCTGCTACTAGAGGGAAAAACAGTTAGTGAGTTGGATTGGATGGGTTTCCCAATGGGCTTTTCTATGTTGGAACCAGGCTCAGCTAACAAACATCTTTAGCTGGGCCTGGAGGGATGCATTGCTGTTGTTGCCTTGTTGGTGTAAGAGCAAATGTATATGTAAAACGATGCTCTAATTGTTTATGGTAAAATACCTCGGATACCACTGAAATTTGAGAATTGAGGTAGCCATACCATTTAAGTTTGAATAGGGCGTCGGGTACCATTAAAGTTGCCAAAATGTACATCCGTCTACTTTTCCATCCAACCCAAACTTTTAATTACTTTTTGATACCCAAAATTTTTAAAAATATTCAAAACTATATTTCAACAAGTTTTATCTAATATAATAATTAGAAAACCTTCTAAACATATTATTACTATAATGAATAATCAAAATTTGTCAATAAAATAGATAAATTAGTAAAAATAATAAATGAATATTAGGAAGAAGAATAAATATACTAGAATATAATAATAAATATTAGAATTATCTATTTAAACTCCCTAATTCAACTAGAAGCACCATTAGAAATAGTTAAAATAGAACCTAATCGATCTTCAATATATCTAAAAAAAAGAAGGTTCTGGGCTGCTTCGTATGCTTTCTTGTATGGTTTCCTGGTATTTGTGGTGTGGTTAGTTGTGCCTATGATCAGTATTTTATGGTATGCTTCATGATACTAATGATGAGGTGCGTGCTGCAAAATTAATGCATAACGCCACACACATGTGTCCCCTCTAATGTTTAATAGCTACAAGCACACTCCTTTTTTTTCCAGGTAATACCGAAGTACAATAGTTAAAACCTCTACCCGAACCCCGAAAATACATCAATGCAACCACCCTACAAAATCAAAGGACGCTATCTCTACAGGGGACAGCAACAGAGCTTGTCTTGCCACTCTATGGGCAGCCCAGTTGGCAGTCCTCGGAACCGCACTAAAAAGAATACACGAGGAACAGGACCTCACTAACTGAAAACAATCACGAAGCAAGGGCCCGCCCACCGAATCTTCACAGCATCTACCATCAAGTTGACGAATGACTACTTCGGAATCTCCTTCTATGATGACGAGGGGAAGACTTCGAGAGATAACAAGAGAAATGGCGTCCCTTGCGGCCAAAAGTTCAGCAAGATAAGGATTCGAAACTCCAGGATGGTGGAAACCCAAGGCCAAAAAGACTTGCCCATCTGACCCTCGAACGACGAGTCCTGACGAGCAATCCGGGGCACACTCCTTCCTTTATAAATTTGTATTATTTGTAATCAACCCCTTTGGATAAAAAAAATCATCATAATTTTTATTGAATTAAGTTAGTGTCGTCATCATCATCATGGGTAAATGACACATTTGGTCATTGGGATTACTAAATCGTTACATGTTCAGTCACTAGAAAAAATTAATATCAATTTTGGTCACTCAAATTACTGAAATAGGTTACATTTAGTCACTCTCTGTTAGTCTCCATCCAACTCCGTTAATAAAATCCGTTATGTGCTGACATGGCTAACGGAAACGCCTAATCAGCGCCATTTTGGACAAAAAATGGTCAAACCCATCCCACCACGTCACTAAATCTGCCATGTCATACATCCAAACCAACCCATAACCAAACCCACTTAACAAAAAGCAAACCCGCCATCTCATCCTCCACCCTCATCTCCCAATTCCGCACCCCAACAACCGCCGCCGTCGGTTCATTGCTTCATCGTCAAATAATTCCATATATCCCCAAATAATTCCATCCCTTCATCGTTGTCGTCAAGGACGGGTAGATCCAGTGGCACAAGACCCGGTCGAACCTTGTCTCCGGCAACCACGAATGCTCTGCCGCAACGAGCTCCAGCTGCCAGATCTGAAATCATCCATCTCTGCATCCCTAGCCGCCGTCAAGCATAGGAAAATGCGACGAAGCAGCCGGAGACAAAGGCGCCGCCCTAGTCAACTCCGGCGACCATTAATGATCTAGGTTCCCAGATCTAGAAAACCCTCTCCACGACGACAATCTTGTCGAGAAAATCCAGATCGAAAATAACAAAAAAGTTCACTGCCGAGCATCTGCAGCCGGCAGATATGAAATTGTCAAGAACAGCCGCCAACGTCAATTTCATTTACGCACAGAGTCGGGCCTGGAGTAGTCTCCCTCTGTGATAGTCGCAAGTACCTATACGTCCCAGTCGAGGAGAATCCACCATCGGAGATGGAGTTTGACGAGGAAGTAGCCACAAAGCTCCTGGAACAGGACAAACAACAAAAGACAGTCCTGCAATTATTCAACATCACCTTGGGTTCCAGTCTAAAGCAAAGGGTCAAAAGAATCTTGAGATTGAAGGTGAGTTCTTTGAGCCTGGGATTGAAATGAAACTCTTGAATGATCAAAAGAATGTTCACGAGCAAAGAGTTGAAAATTATGTTGAGATGAAGTGGTGGCGGCGGCGGCGGGAGAGGAATTGGGAGATGAGGGTGGAGGATGAGATGACAAGTTTGCTTTTTTAATTGGGTTTGGTTTGGTTCTGGGTCGGGTTGGGTCTATGGGTTGGGTTTAGTGACGTGACGGGTTGAGTTTGACCATTTTTTGTCTAAAATGGCGCTGACTAGGCGCTCCTGTTAGCCATGTCAACATATAACGGACTTTGTTAACGGAGTTGGACGGAGACTAACGGGGATTAACGGAGAGTGACTAAATGTGACCTATTTTAGTAATTTGAGTGACCAAAATTGATATTAGTTTTTTCTAGTGACTAAACATGTCACAATTTAGGGCCTGTTTACTTTCATTTCTGTTTCCTGTTTTTGAGAAAACAGATGTTGAAAACAAGTGAAAACAACATTTTGTCGTTTCCGAAAACAGCAGGAAGTTGCCACTTTCTGTTTTCATAGTTGGAAACGAATAGAAAACGGAATGAAAAGTAAACAAATTTTCTTGTTTCGGTTGCCAAATTTATGACATGAAAACAGAAAACAGGAAACGAAAATAAAAGTGAACAGGGCCTTAGTAATCTCAGTGACCAAATGTGTCATTTACCCAATACATTGGGTGTTATCATCCTAACCTCTACCTACATCAAAACCATTGAGAATAGTCTAACGACTCCAAGAAATCGATTACAAAATTATTCTCAACCGTCAGATTAATCGGCCTGCCCGTAGATTAACGACAGCAAGGCACAGAATCTTTTCTGTGAATCTCGATCTCGACGCCGACTCAGCCTTTTACTCTTTCTCCTCTTCTTTCTTCACCTCCACAGTGAGTCAGTGACTGAACTTTGACTCCTCCAAATAAACCCAATCCATTCCCTGCAACTCTCCAGTCCATTCATTCATATTTCCTTCTCCTCCTTCTCATCTCCGACCGTCGCAATGATCTGAACTTGCTCGGCCGGCGGGAGAGCAATGAAAACACCGAAGATGGGTCCTGGATCGGCGTTGACCACGGCAAAGCCGACTCCGATTCCGACCCAGGAAGAAGACCCATCTCATCCATCCACATCTCTTCTCACTTTCAGCACAGAAGTTCCCTCATCTCCGCCGCACAAACCCACCGCCACCGCCATCTTCATCGCTCTCCTCCTCGTCACCTGTGCCGCCCTCTCCGCCGCATCCGCCTTCGCCTTCCTCTTCCTGTCCCCCGGTAAATCGGCTCATCGTCCCTCGATCAAAGACGGTCAAGCGGCGCGGTCGCTGAAGAAATTGGATCACCCAGTCGTCCTGTTGATCTCCGCCGACGGGTTCCGGTTCGGGTACCAGTACAAGGCTCCGACGCCCAACATCCGCCGTTTGATCGCCAACGGGACGGAGGCTGAGACGGGTCTGATTCCGGTATTCCCTACTCTCACTTTCCCTAATCATTACTCCATTGTCACTGGCCTCTACCCTGCTTACCATGGAATCATCAACAACAATTTTGTCGACCCGAGAAGTGGAGCCGTCTTCAATATGGGCAGCCACGACCCTAAATGGTGGCTCGGCGAACCAATGTGGGAGACTCTGGCTAATCAGGGTTTGAGAGCTGCTACTTACTTTTGGCCTGGCTCTGAAGTGATTAAGGGCTCTTGGGATTGCCCCAAGGGCTTCTGTATGCCCTACAATGGATCAGTTCCATTTGAGGATAGAGTTGATACCGCCTTGAGCTACTTTGATTTGCCCAGCAGTGAGATTCCAGAGTTTCTGACTCTGTACTTTGAGGACCCTGATCATCAAGGTCACTTGGTCGGTCCCGATGATCTCCAGGTTACTGAAGCTGTTACTCACATTGATGGCTTAATTGGGAGGTTGATTGGTGGGTTGGAGAAGAGAGGGGTTTTTGAAGATGTTACCATAATCATGGTGGGCGATCATGGCATGGTTGGTAACTGTGATAAAAAGCTGATCTTTCTCGAGGATTTAGCTGAATGGGTCAAGATTCCTGCAGAATGGGTGTCTGATTATACTCCGGCTCTTTCGATTCGCCCTTCCAAGGATGTTGATCCGACAGAAGTTGTTGCAAAGATGAATGAAGGGTTGCGGTCGGGGAAAGTTAAGAATGGGAAGAACTTGAAGATGTATCTCAAGGAAGATCTTCCTCGCAGGCTGCATTACTCCGACAGCGAGAGGATTCCACCGATCATAGGGATGCTCGACGAGGGTTTTAAGGTGGAGCCGAAGAGAACAGCAGCACAGGAGTGTGGTGGATCCCATGGTTATGACAATGCGTTCTTCTCCATGAGGACCATCTTCATTGCTCATGGCCCTCGGTTTGGGAGGGGAGTGAAGGTGCCATCTTTTGAGAATGTTCAGATATATAATGTGATCGCCTCGATCCTGAATGTCCCCGGTGCCCCGAATAATGGGTCTTGGTCATTTCCTCGCTCTATTCTTTTGCCTGAGGCTTAGCCAAGTGGTCCATGTCGCATGTGTCTCAAAGTGCTCAGATGGCTGCTTACCGATGAAGTGTTAGCTCGCGAGTTCAAAGAGCTCAGTATGCTGTTCTGTGAGAGTAGATGGTTGTGTGTTAGTATTGCATATGAACCTGGAAAGAATGGCGTTTGTTGCGTTCATTCTTTTGGATTGTAGGTATGTCTATGTATTAGTAGCACAGATCGAATGTTCCCCTGAAGTTTGAATGTATTAAAGTTTCAGCTCGGAGTATGAGTTTCTTTTGAATGAACCGTAGGGAAGAGTGAAAGATAATGCACACAACTCCTTATTCTGCATTACTGTTCTTCTTTTCAGCTTTAGATTGGGACCTTGAATTTTATGGCAATCATCATAGTCGACGGAGGATTTCACAAATATGTTGTTCTGTTGTGTTGTGGAGTATGATCAGGCTTTGGCAATCTGGTTGGCAGCTCCACAGTCCAGGTGCCTGGCAGTGTAATTTCTACAACGTTTACCTTTTGGTCATACTAGCTATTTTCTTTCAAGACAACATATGCACTTAGGCGCAGCATCACCTAGCAGTTAATATCAAGAACATTGGGTTCATTAGACGTTAGGTTCGGAATCATCTATTAGTTTGTGTGAAGATGCCAAAAAGGTACGCTTTTTCCCAAACATTCTCAAACCTCTATACAATTTACTATCGAGGTATTCATGGTTGTCCTGCGAGTATTCTACCGGTTGGTTCAATCGGGTACAATCTGTACCGATCACTAAACTGGTTGGAAAGATATCGAATTTCTATTCTAGTCAAATCCGATAAATATCGATAAAATTCACAAAACTGTCTGGTCAGGTCAGAAACCGAAATTTAGCACTTTCACACATATCTCTACAAATAAACACCAATCATGAGATTTGAATAAAATACATCATATTCACTAGTCTCAATTGTACACCAATGGCAGTAAGCTACAAGAAAAGTTTGTGACATATAATAACCTTATATATTATATAACTAATGCAATAATTCACATAGTAGAGTAGGGTTCCGTTTTATTCCTCATACAACTTTTTTTTTTTTTTTTTTGACAAAAGATAATCATGTATTGATTCCAAAAAAAGATAGTTACACCCTGGATAACAGCCAGGCCTGGTAATTGAAAGAACGACTCATCGTCGGGTACAAAGAAAGGGCTTTTCTAGCCACTAAATGGGCTACCCTATTGTTACACCGACCCACGAAACGAATACTAAACCCAGGGTTACTGCCAAACAGATTAATCACTTCCTCCAACACAGCACCCATCCTGCTAGCTCTTGTATCTGCGCCCCTAATTTTGTCAATGACTAATTTAGCATCCCCTTCAAATCGAACCGAGGTGAGACCTTGCCCTAGACACCAGCGAATAGCCTCTCGCAACGCAAGCAACTCCACTACCGCAGGATCATCAATAACCGGAAATGGAACCCCTACAGCCCTCAGGATGGCGCGGGACGGGGTCATTAGAACGACACCACCAGCCGAATGCGATCCCCCTCTAGTCGCACCATCCCACCCACACACCACCTCAACATGGCTACTCAGGCCAGAGACCTGGGGCCCACTCACTGGGGTCTGATGCTTAGCCTGAACAGGGAGACGCTCCCATTCCCCAACTTGCTGAGCAAATTGGCGCATGAGAGCTGGAATATCATACTGCTTGCCTTCAAACACCACCCAGTTCCGAGATTTCCAAATTCGCCAGAGAACTGCTACAATTGCCATCCAGAGTGACGGCTGATGGACCACCGCCAAAAGCTTCTTAAGAAACAGAGGAAAAGACTTCCGCGGCAAGCCCTCCCCTAGGTGTTCCATACCCGCCGCCCCCCACAGCGCTCTGGCAACCAGACAATCCAAAAACAAATGCTCCAGAGTTTCAGGGCCTTCCCAGCAGACCGGACAACGAGCACGGACTGGGATACGACGACTAATAAGAGCTTCAGCGGTAGGTAAGGTACGACTATAGATTTGCCAAACAAAAACCTTTAACTTTGGCGGGATGTTGGCGTCCCACAACCGCTTCCAACTAGCTCTATCCATCCAATCCACCGTCGCCTTCCAACGACCCCTCATTTTCTCCAAAGAGACAGCAAGGTGGTAGGCTGATTTCACCGAGAATTCCCCATCCGCTGTATCATGCCAAATCAGTTTATCCTCCACATTGTCCCGCGGGAGAGGGATGGCTTTTATGCACCGACACGTTGCAGGGTCAAACCATTGATGGAGCTTTTGGTCACACCAGCGCCCCTCTCCTGGACAAATTAAATCTGCCACTAACGGGTCCCCACCATCTGGCAGAATCTGCGGATTAAATCGCATGGGTTCAAACTGGAATTCCGGTACCCATGTAGAGCGAAGCATGGACACTGAACGGCCATTCCCCACCTGCCATCTTAGCCCCATTTCCAAAAGTTGCCGGCCAAACAAAATACTCTGCCAACCCCACGAAGGCCTCGAGCGAGCTTTAGCCATGAGGAAATGTCCATTAGGGAAATATTTCCCACGATAGACCTGGGCCAAAATGGATTGGGGTTCACTAAGAATACGCCAACCTATTTTAGCTAAGAGCGCCTGATTAAAGTGCTCAAATCGGCGGAATCCCATACCCCCATCATGCTTACTTCTACACAAGTCTCGCCAAGCCATCCACCGTACCTTTGGGTGACCCTCATTCTCACCCCACCAAAAACGGGCCACATGCTTGTCCAATAGGCGACATAAAGACAAAGGAAGCTTGAAACAGGACATCACATGCAGAGGTAGGGCCAGAGCAATAGACTTGATAAGAGTTTCTTTAGCAGCCCACGAAAGGGTCCTCTGTTTCCAACCCTGGAGTCTTTCCAGCAATTTGGATTCCAAGTACCTGAAAGTCTCCATCTTGGACCTGGCAATCAGAGTGGGGAGACCCAGGTATTTATCATGAACCCCAACGGCCCCCACCCCCAAGATTGCAGCCAAGAACTCTTGGTCTTGTTGCTCAATATTTCTACTGAAGCACACAGCCGACTTATCAAGATTCACCCGCTGACCACTTAGCTCCTCATATTCGTTCAGAACCTCAATTAGGTTTTCACATTCCTGAAGCGTGCCTCTTAGGAATAAATAGGAATCATCTGCAAAAAATAAATGGGACAGTCTTGGAGCACGAGGAGCGACTTTAATCCCGGCCAATTTCTTTTCCGAAATCGCCTTCTTGAGAAGGGCCGCAAACCCTTCCGTGCAAAGCACAAAAAGGAGAGGCGACAAAGGATCCCCCTGGCGCAGTCCTCGGGAGGAGGTAAAGTAACCAGACGGGGTGCCATTCATCATAACAGAAAAAGACGCCGAACTTAAGCACTCCTTGACCCATCCAACCCATGTTGAGCTAAAACCCAATTTATCCAAAACCGCAAGAAGAAAAGGCCATTCGACTCTATCATAGGCCTTTTCCATGTCAACCTTTAGGGCCATGAACCCTTTCTTCCCCCGAGTCTTGGTTTTTAGGTAATGCATGAGCTCATGCCCAAGAAGGATATTGTCCACAATTTGACGTTCCTTGATGAAGCCATTCTGTCCTTCAGACACCACATGAGGGAGGACAATGGCCAATCGCTCTGCCAGAATTTTGGTTATAACCTTGTAAACAAACTGGCATAAACTGATTGGTCTCAACTGTCTCATTGTCTCCACATTATCAACTTTAGGAATCAATGTGAGCCAAGTATGGTTCAAACTGCGAAGAAGCCTCCCTGATGTAAAAAAAGAGCAGACTGCTTCAATCACCGAGGGCCCCACGATATCCCAGAAAGTTTTGAAGAACTTCCCGGTAAACCCATCTGACCCGGGAGCCTGTTTTGAGCCCATAGCGAAGACAGTTTTGCGTACCTCCTCAGGGAGAACGGCAGCCGTCAAGGCCTCATTCATTTCTGGGGTAACACTTCGGGGAATGGGTAAATCCTGCACCCGGTTATGCATGTTCTGAACCTGGGTTTCGGACGAGAAAAGATTACTATAAAAATCAGTAGCAATATCCGCCTTGCCCTTCTCATCCGTAACCCACTCGCCATTTTCGGCTCGAAGCCCACTCACAAAGTTCCTTTTCCGACGGGTCCTCGTCACTGTATGGAAGTATGACGAGTTTTTGTCCCCTTTCTTCAGCCAGCGGACTCTGGATTTTTGTTGCCAGTACTCTTCCTCCGCCTCCCACTGCCTATTTAATTCAAACTCCAGGCCCCGAACCTCATCCCAGTTAATGGGATGATTCTGCTTTAGACGATCTATTTCTGCCTGCAGAGTTTTGATATTACGCAGCGAATTTGTTGTTCCTGCTCTGCTCCAGTCATACAGCAGGTGACAAAGCTTCTTGAGACGTTCCCAGAGTCTAAACATGGGGGTCCCTTGAATTTCATCCTGCCAAACATAGGTCACCATGGCTCTAACCTCCGGGTTATCCGCCCAACGAGCATCAAACCGGAATAAGGGGCGACTATTCCGTACATAAGGCTTATCAGAAAGCACTAGTGCCCGATGGTCCGAACCTTGATCCGTAAAATGTTTCACCAGGGTATCAGGGAAGTGATCCAACCAGGAAAGAGAGCAAAGAGCTCTATCCAAGCGTTCGCGAATACACGCCGCTCCCATGCGTTTGTTTGTCCAAGTAAAAGGATCTCCCTGGTACCCCGGATCAATGAGGCCCATGTCCTGGATAAAATCTCTTAGGCTTAGAGACTGAAGGGCATTCCACTGATTTCCCCCGTCTTTCTCACTCTCGTGAAGAGTCGTATTAAAATCCCCTATAATAACATAGGGGTGAGAGATACCACCACAAATTTCACGCAAGTGATCGAGCTGAGCAGCTCTAACAGCAACATGACAACTAATGTAAACAAAAATCACCACATACGAATTGTTTATTTCATTAACTTGAACACAAATACAAAACTCCGAATGAAAGAAAACCGAAGCATCAACTTCGGGAGACCAAGCTGCTACC